TGGCTACCAAACTTTGGGCAGTTGACTTTATAGGACAACTACGTCTGCTGTAAATAGGCGACTGGCGCAAGGTTTGCACACACATAGACAGCAGGATAAACAGACATGGACAATGCGACATAGCCATGCGTCCTTTGACACCCTTTACGCTTGGCTATCCCTTGGAGCCTTAGCGCTTTTGCTTTGAAATATACTAACGAAACTATTTATGTATTTCGGTCCAGAAAGAGAGATAAGTTCATGTTCATTTAAATTTGTAGTCTTTTTCAATACCTATAGGGCCTCTCGATTCCCAGTTAAAATATTTTGAGACCGAAAAAGTAATCTGGTATTACTTGATACCACTTCCATAGTCCATTTTAGAGCCAACAGTGACATTGAAGTTCTACACAAGCATTTTCCCTCTACTCTATTCTAATTTAGAACGGACCGTCAACTAAAAGTTGTTCTTGAAATCTTATTTCCCTGATCAGTAGAGCTGCTGAAAAATATGGCTTTGGTTTCCAGCAGACTGGCTATCTGAGTACGTATTGTTCCAGAATTGAAGCACTTCACAATACGCCACCATACTATCGCTCTGTGGACATTTTTTCTATCGCGCTCGTGAAACCACAGGATTGGCTTCTCATTGCGCCTTAATTTGTGACGTAAAATTTGTCTTCTAGCTCAGTTTAGCTCAGAAACTAATTTGAGAATCGTTTTGTTGAGAGTACCTTCCCTCCACTTTAAAAGAATTCTAATAAAATTTTTGTCGTCAAAAGTTGATTTTTCGAAGCAATAAAAATATCTTATGCCGAATTTCCACTAGACATTGAAATGACAAAAAACTGTGGGCATTAGAAAATGCCATGCGGAAATGAATTTAATGACTGTCTTTTAACGTAATAACCGAAGTTTTCAATGTCCAACTTTTCTATTAAAATTGTTGTCATTTACTGCCTAGTGGAAATTCAGCATTAGAAAATGTGGCGCACAGTGCTGTCTAAGTGGGCAAAAATCGAAAAATTCATTGTCTGCAAGGTGTTCTCTGCCACTAAAAAGAATCGAACCGAAATTTTCCTATAAAATAATCTGTATGTCACCAGAAAGCCACTAAAGTCGACAAATTTTATACTAAGAACTTTAATAAGAGCTTAGCCATGCGTAAACTCTTCACGGAAACAAATTTAAAAAATACATTCTTTAAATAAAATGTTGGTTTGAAGTTTTTTATTTTCATATAGATAATAGAGAACTACAGGAATAAAAATAAAAACACAGGGTGTCCGCATAGGTATTCCAGAAAAACACTTTTGTGTAACAAAATTTTCAAGATATGGTAAATTTTAATGGAATGAATAAAAAATAAATGTAAAAATATGTTATTTTTTATTATTTTATTAAGTAGTACGGATTTTTAGCTTTCGAAAGCGGAAATAAAAAACTGCTCATTTTCTGCACTTTTTAAATTAATGCGTTTTTTGCTAATGCATAAAATCATTTTTTAATTTTTTCATTTTTTGTCAGTGCCATCAGATCTGCACGATTCGTTCTATTTTCAAAAATTAAGTATCCGATTAAAAACCTTTAGACAATAGAGGTATGTTTTTTTTTAAGAGTTGCCACCTGTTAAAAAATTTAAATAAAGTATTTTTCTTAACTACATGTAGATGGTTGCCACCTGTTATAAAAAGGTAATTTTATTGGAATTAGAGGAATAATTTTATTAAAATAGATAGGTATCACCATATGGGAGTTAGGCGAAAGAGTTTTAAAAGTTTTAGCTTGCAAATATAACAAAGAGAGTTGCCATCAGTTTGTAAAGTAAAATTTAGTTATACTAAAATAATAACTGTGTCAAACCAAAGGTTTACGACGTCGTATTTGTTATTTTATTACAAATACATATGTACATTGTCTATCAGTGATTTTTTCTGATTACATTCCTTTTAAATTACTGGACAATTAAATAAACTTAAGAATGTTTTTAGTCTTCACTTATTTCTTGCTTAATATGTCCAATTTTTTCTTTAGTCTGATACCGATATTGATATACATATTTCAGTTACCTTATTTCCTTAATTAAAGCAAATTTGATTTTTTAAACATTCTACGTTTAGCTTAGAAGCAAAGGATTTTGAAAACCATTTCTATTGATACCCATATTGTAATATCTAATTCCTTTACCTTATTAAATAATTTGAATAAAATTCAAAAAATTCTGTTTTAAAAAAATAAAACTTTATTGCACATCCCAATCCCTTACATTTGACACCTCAATTTAAAAAATAGAACGAACTATATGTACATACCTATGTAAATGCCACAAGAACTCAAAATTTTCAACGTCAGACTGTATTTACAGTGAAAGTATGAAAGTTATGAAAATAAATTGCATTTTTAAATTTAGCATCTTAAATTGTGCTACGAAGCGAATTTTCAATTAAATCCGCCCATAATTCTATTTTTGCCCACATTTTATATGGAAGGGAAGCACTGTGCGTCGTATGAACGTTATATTCAAAGTAGCAAACGTCGTGAAATGCAACTTACACCCTGTAAATTCTTCAATAGAAAAAGTAATAAGAGATTTCCCCATTGGCCTCCTAGAAAAAAATTCATGGTGCTCCTATGCCGGCTCCATCCAAGAGCGTTGGTTCCTGAATAGGGACGTTTACCGCGATTTCACCAAGCTTAAGTCCAAGCATCCATCGGCAAATACTGTTCTATCTTGGTATCAGTGTTGCCAGAACTTTTTGGGCCGACCGGCTAGATTGGCAAAAAAAAGCGGCTAAAATGTTTTAGTGAAATTTCACATAGACTCTGGCAAAAAACGGCTAAAATGTTTTAGTGAAAATCCACATGCTTTATTTAAATAAATCGCAAGAAACGAAAGACTAGTTAACACCATTAATTTATATCGAGTGTATATTCCTCATCATCAAATGAATCACTATTGTATATATCACCTGAATTCATTAATTTTAAGAGATCGTCATCTACAGTAAAATTATGGCAGCATTTTTCTTCACGTTTTAAACCGTATCTTATATATAAAATAGCGTTTAACGTTTTAACGCACATTGGATTTCTTTGCTTAGTTTTTATTATATTCATTGAACTAAATATTCGCTCTACTTCTGCATTACTTATAGGCAAAACAAGAAAACTAAACACTAGGTTGCAAAGGTCAGCAAAAGGGTTTTCTCCTAGGGCATTTCGAAATTGATAAACTTCGGCCCAAAATTTTACAGTTGAGTCTAAATTACTCCAGGTATGTAACGTTAACCGTTTCCATTGCATCTCTATGGATATTATTTCGTCGGCATTATATTTGTGGTTTTGTTGCTGTAGTTGAACAAATACTTTTGGTTTAATTACTCTTAATGCATTTCCAACCGAAAAAAGTCAATTTTTTTTTAGTGTGGTAATATTTGTAGGGAGGCGTTGGCGTAATTCCTTTATTAAAGTGATAATAAAATAGCGACCATTTTCTCGAATTATTTTCTAGGCTTCGTGGTCAAAAGCGTTTGTGCTTACTTTTGTTTTTAAATACTCTTCAAAACTGTGATAAAACTGAGGAAATGGAGCAAGGTATGGTTCCAACGGGGAGCATATAGGATCAAATGTGTCCGCGCTAATAACCACTAGGGACCATAGATGCGAAAGTAAAACATTGAGTTCATTAAAAATCTTCATTGGGTCTGCATTATTGCTTTCGAACAACTTGTTTACTTTTTGCAAATTAGGCAACTAGTAAAATCGGCTAAAAACGGCTAACTTTTTTTTACAAACCGGCTAACAAATCGGCTGCCGGCTAGATCGAATTTTCTCCGGCTAGTTGCTATCAAAACCGGCTAAATCTAGCCGGAAAACGGCTAAAATGGCAACGCTGCTTGGTATTGCGCTAATTTTTAAAGTGAACCAAATAGCTCAGTGAATCATCCTAGTAACGGGAAGAGATCGAAATCTTAACTATCATTCGGACAGACTACTAAAATCCGTACTACCTCCCTTGAAATTTCCCTAATCCAGACTGCCTTTTATTAGCCAGATCTATGGGTAAATTATGCAATCTTAGCAAATAATCTGTTACCAGGTGCACTCCAGTGTTCGGCAAAAAAAACACGTTCGGAAGTGCATGTGGATGGAAACCACCAAGATGGATTGAAAACCGTCCGTGGACCTGCCGTTTGATGGCTGGCGATACTGATTCCTTGAACAAACTCCCCAACGTGGGAGTCATACGTAAAATATTGTAAGCCAACTAATACACCGATAAGATGGTGCAATTTCACAACAGAGCGAAAAAAAATGTAAAGACTGCACTTAAAGCTTCAGTTGTGTCCACCTTTTAATTTTTGATATTTTTACATACAGCGAATTTTTTTGATTAGTTACCTTCTGCTAACCGATAATAGGCTGAACGTGCTATATACATCTTTGTGCCCGTTGAGAATTAAACAAACAAAAAACGACCGAAAAATTTCACAGATTTTATATTCACAGGACACGAAATTTAGTAAAAAGGATACTGTGTATATTTTATTTAGAAGTAAGAAGCGATTTTTCGTCCTTAAATCGTACTACTTATTTTCCACTGTACGTCTGTTTTTTTTGTGTGGCTGCGATCAACGCTTTCAATATTAACGCCGAATATTAACTGATTTAGTACTGTTACCACAACAATCGAGGTCAGCTTTTCGTACTCAATTTGCTACAAGCCAACGTTCGCTTCAACGAAATTCCGCAGCTGATTACAAAGATGACAAGGCAATCAAAAAACAAAACAAAGATGAGTGAGTATCTTCTGTATCAGTTCAACGATAAGTGAATTGTTTTGGCGTGCAATTGTACAAATTCATCTGTGCACAAAGACATCCAGCACCAAATAATACCAAGTATAATGAACTCTTATCTGACTGTTTGATTTTTAATTTGTTTGATGTATTCATCAGCAGACATGATTTTAAACAATGAAACGAGGAACACCCTCCCTATGATTACGCCATTAAGGGCCCTTATTTGCATAGGCCATTAGTAACGGCTTCGGTGTATTCTTCGATCCCTTGGAGTAGAAAAGAAATCGGCGGTAGTAGGGAGTTGTCCACTTCCCTAATCTGTATTTCGGCTATTTCGTTCGAATTGATATTGTTATGTCCAGGAACCCAGCAGAGCGGGGTTTCGACGTAACTCAGTGATGCCAGCGATGCAATTTGAATCTGAATGCCCTTGGAGTACAGATCCGAGTCGACTTGATGGAAATACCATTATATATTGGAAATTGGTCGCCATCCAATCTTTCCTAGTTGGAAAATGTATAGAATAGCCTATTTCCACCAAAAGCTTAACTGCAGTTAAGAGCTGAGGCAAGTTCCAGGAATTTCAACACGGGGTGATCGACAAGATTTATTTCTTACTTTTTGCTATTTTAGTTCAGTTTTTTTGTACTTATTATGAGCAATTACACGATTCGAGTTGTAATCTTCCCTTTCCAATAGGCTTAAATTGCAGTTAAGGCTTGGTGGAAATAAACTTTTAGGCTAAACTCACAGGATGACCGTAGGTAATCAGTTTCGTCGTCCAAGATTGATGTCAGAGTGGATGCTATAAGAGATTCCAAGCTTGAAGCGATAATAGCTCATGCGAGAAGCAATGCTATAAGGTGTCAGAGTGAAAGGAGGAAAGCGAGTGAGGTTTGTAGTAATTTGTCAGCACAAGAAAAATTTTTCATTGCCAATGCAAAAACTGCATTTAAAAGAAAAAACGGTATGTAAAGTAAAAATAATTTAAACGACTATAGAGCATAATCCCCCTCATACATAGGCCAAAAATAGTAGCACTTTGAAGCCACATGGAATCCTAATCCCTTTGGATGCATGAGCTTTGCCTATGGTCTTATTTCCAACTGTGAAATCTCTGCCAAGCGCGCAAAATCTTCTATGATCTTGCAACTACAACATTGATCCGGTGAATAAGCCAGTAAAAGTGCTTATAAGGAAACTCAAGAGCACAGGTGAGCGTTTTTTCGTTATAGGAGGGCCAACAAATCCTCGCTATCCCACAGGATGAAAAGTTTTCCCGTACATTGGCTAAATGAGTTGTGTGATCTCTTGAATATCGTTGAAATGAAGGCAATGATATACCTACCGTGCTCCTTCTTGGACGGATGTGGTCGAATCTTTCCTTGTCGATTGGCAATTTTTAAAATTCGTCTTAATATTTATGAACTGGTTTTATTGAGTCTTACAGCTGCAATAACGGCCGCCCCGATTAATTTCGTTAATCAGAGGTAAATATTTGCAAAACCGCATTAAGCGTGTATGAGGGCCTCAGGCAAAGGTGCGCTTACACAATTTCATTTAGCCACATGAAGAGTAAACACATGGAGTTTCTATATATTTCGTCAGCACCGCCATCGCACGTTTGTATGGGAGGTGCCACGCCCGCTTTTCCAATAGCTCCCAGTTTTCGCCACAAGTAGGGTATTTAAAATTTATGCAGCCGTTCCAGTTCCCTAGCGTAGTTGATTTAAGAGATATATGAGTGTCCTGAAAAAAGGGGCTTCCATATTTCATTGTGACGAATGTATATGTGCAGATATCTATCATTCTCCTACTGTATAAGCACGTTAGGTATATCCCGACCTCAGCGCCTCCTGTTGTGTAATTTTTTAGCCCAAATATTCATTTTCAATTGGCTAACAAATGTTCTAAATATGAGGCAAATCTGCAACTTAGTGCAGTTTTTAGGAGCATATAGACCCCTGCGCCAGCTAGCGGTTCAATTTTTAGCCGAAATACTTCCCTCCAAGGTGCTGACATATATTTCAAATATGAACGAAATCGGTCCCGCCGTTTGGTAGTTTAGTCACATACAATATACGGAGAACTCTATGAAATTTGAGATCGTGACGTTTCAGCTTTCTCAATTTTTTGGCAACAATAACAAAAAGACTTGAATTTTTTTAAATCGAAAAACCTTTCACACAGAAGATCCAAAAAAGTACTTTTTACAGAATTGAAATCGGCTCAGCCGTTTGGTCAGGCATCGCCGTCATAAGAAAGACTTTTCATTTATATATATATAGATGTATGTATTTTAATATTCGCATACGAATACTGTTTCGATCCGTTTATGACTGTTCCTAGGCGCTCCACAATTTCAAGAAATAAAAGAGACTATACTGATGCTCTGTAGTTTGACACCATAGTTTTGCTGCTCGCTCTCACTCTCGATAATTTTTAGCGTTTTGCATAAGACACATGCAGCGGTTTATAGCATCGCTTCTCGCTTCCTCTCTGACATCAACGTAAGTCGGTCTTGAATCATTAATTACCTTCAAGACCGCAGCGTGCCCGTAATGTATCTGCTTCCACAATTCTGATTTCCTTACGTTTGTTTCGTCCAGTTGGAAACACTGCCCAGTGTCAATTCCATCAGCTCACTAATTGTTGGCAAGAATTTGCTGGAAATCTGAACACATACCTTTAACGTCGGTTACGGCGGTCGCCAATTTTCGTAACAAAGTTGAAAAAGCTCTTAATTTACGCTTAACAAGGTCAGACCCGCGGACTATAACTATATCTTGAGATCTGAGCACAGATTCGTTACGTTTTTAAGGCAAAACCTTTTTTTTTTAAAGGAAAGATACCATTTTCATTGAAACCGATTATCTTCTTAACATTAAATGACTAACTACAATTGACACTGAATTAAACAACACGTAGTATATTCATATAGATATTAGGATATGTACATATGTAAGTGCTTCCGGTGGTAAGAAAGAAGAAGTAAACATTTCAGTTACCTTCTCGTGGTCGAAATTCTGCAAAATTTTGTATTTCACACTTCAATAAATCACAAAAACGAAATAAAATCACAAACAAATTTTTAGTAATCCTCGCGCGTTGAATAATTGTCAGTAAATGTCAACCGAAATGTGAAAATCAAAGTCTTTTATCAGTAAAAAAGATTGCCAGGTATACAGCAAATGGCAAAACTGATTCACAATAGATAGTGCAGATAATTTTTTTTAGCAGATAACTAAACAAATTACACACTTAGTGTACATCCATTCATCTGCGCAGCAGTGAGTCATTCAAATGAATATTGCTTGGTATGTAAATGCGTTTTAGCAAAAAATACCTAAATAGTTTTATGACTAATGCAGTAAATGCGCTTTACGATTTGATTTTGCGCTAAGCATTGGCAACCCTTAAACTTCACCTCAAGTACTCTTAATCTTATCAAGCCAAAATGGTAAACACCCTTCTCCACGGCATCCTCTAACAGAAAGTAAATACTCGTAGCAATAATTGGACCGAATATTCGTATATGAATTTATTTGAGCGCTACAGATACAGACTCGACAGGTGAGAGTAGTCACATTCGTCAATAACTTTTGCAAAATCGACGCATTGCTATCATTGGTTATCAGCAGCTATTGTTAGCTTATCATCTTTGTATGTAGACTACCAAATATAGACATATGTACATTAGGGTGGTCCAAAAATGCATGTGATAAGGTTAAGTCGGAATTTTTGTACTCTCGCCCCCTAAGATGGTTCTATATCGAAAAAAACGTTTTGCTTTTATGTGGCAAGCACAATAACCATGCCGAGTTCGGTACAAATTGGTTGAACGGTTACCGAGATACATATATGTGATCATAAGTGGGCGGTGCCACGCCCATTTTCCACAAATGTATCATAAACGTATTTCCTGGTAAAGAATTGTTGCAAGCTTCAATTTTGAATAAATTAGCTTTAATATTTACTGATTTTTCGAAGATTTCGTATTTCACTAAATTACGGTTATATGGGATGTGGGCGTGGTTATTGTCCGATTTTAAAAATTTTCGTCCATTTGGTATGCAGTGCCAAGGCCAACAAAAACTGTGCCAAGTTTGGAAGAAATTTTGCCCGATTTTTCCCATTTTCAATACCATCCGCCCCACGCCCGAAATAAGTGCACTTACAGAGTTTCGTTTATATATCTCAATTTTACTTGAGTTATCGTGTGCACAGACGGACGGACGGACGGACAGACAGTCACCGCTTAATCGATTTCTCTTTTCATTCTGATCATTTATGTATAAATTTGTCTATATCCCTCTTGTGCACAAGTGCGCTCGGGTATAAAAAGCAACTTTTCTTAGAAATGGTTCAGAATTCTTGAAAATCAATATTAGGCGACCGGAAAACTCTGTTTCTCTTTAGGAAATTTGCAATAATAATACCCAATTATTTTTTTAACCATTGTTGCATAGTTACTATATTTTATAGGTCCGCCAAAACCTCTAGAAAATGCAATGAGAGATAAATAAAAAATATTTAGTACAATGGTTAAATAAACAATTGGCTATTGTTACTGGAAGTCTCCTGGAGAGAACCAGAGTTTTCCGATCGAAGATTGATTTTCGAGAATTCTTTACCATTTCCACGAAAAGTTGTTTTTTCCCCAAATAAAATACATGGACAATTTTGAGCACTTTCAGCTACCTCCAAATATTGTTTGATTTCAAAATAAAAAAAGGGTTATATTTTTTTCAATAAAGAACAATCCTAACGGGTGAGAGCTTTAAAATTCCGACTTTACATAATTTGGGCCACCCAAATCTACATACGTACATATTCCAGCAATCAATGCTAACCAAGCGCATTTCGGTGGTCATGTCAACTTACCGTGTCTCATTAGTACGCTGTGCTGTGGATTACGTATGATACGTATTTGTCGATCAGGATGTTGGGGTTCGCCAAATTCACCGCCAATATCCTTGGGCAGTTGCCAAAGGGCACTACGCTCTTCGAGGTGATCGCGTGGAAAATAGAGCGGCGCTAGCACCTCATAAATGCCACGTTCGTGTGCACTTACACACAATATCACAATTTGCGTTAGATATTTATCTAAGAAGCGTCGAATTGTACCTGAAACGAAAAAAATTTAGAGATATTTAATTGCATTAAAAATGAATAGAATATGAAATATTTACGCAGCGCTATGTGGCCAGCTAAGTCGGCTGGGAAACTACTCTGATTGGCACTTAAGTTGCTGATAGCGATTGTACGTAGATTTAGTTCTTTAGCTTTGTACAAAGCATTTCTGAAAAAAGTAAATGAAAAATGTACGCATGTATGTATATTATTGAAAATTAAAATTTTCACTTTCTGCAGAAAACCCACTGCAAAAAATCGTGTGGGAAAATAAATGTCTAATATCCTCATAGACCCTGGCTGAGAACAATGCTATCCAATTAATCTGAATACCAGGGCACATGAGAGTCGAAGGAGATGAAAAAGCTGAGCAGTTAACCAGAATAACTACTGCCGCGACATCGATAGGACCTGAGCCCCTCCTTGTGATAGCGCTTACCCGAAAAATAAAGCTGATCAGAAAGGAAAATACCAAACTGAGTGAACTCCACCGGCGCAATAACATGGACTTCGTCTAGCTTAAAGCTTACTAGAGAGCTACAATCTAAAGATATGCAGGCTACTCATAAACCTCCCTAAGGATAGTCTAAGAGTTATGACAGGTATTTTGTATGAACTGAGGATACAATAGACATACTCGTCTCAGTGCTTATTCTATTTATAACTACCTTTCTATCAAAATTTTTATTATCCGTTTGCAAGTACAGGGCATTGCAGAAAAAAAAACGAAAAAAAGCGTCAAAGTTAATAGTAGATTAAAGAATTTTAAATGTAGCCAGCTGCAGAGACTTTTGTGGTAGCTCGCCGTCATCTACCGTTCAGCAGCATTTTGCAACTAAGTATACCGGGGTTTTCGTCTGAAGCTAGCTGAATCGACTAAGAGCCCGTCAATTCAGGAACAGTCCGGAGATTGTCACAGAAACTCCATAACACTTTCTATAAAAAAAACGGCCTGCAATGTCACTGTGACTTCTAGACCCAATAAATCTCCCACTTTCGATCGTAGCAACTGCAATCTTAGTGCCGGCATTGCTGCATGGCTTGGCGCAGAAATAGGGTAGCTGAAGCATGAATCAGACAGTTCATGACAAAACAAACCTTCTTAAACTTTACTATTGAACTTCGACCCATTCACCCCTTGAAGGACTGCGGTAACTTTACCAGAAATGCCTAAGGATACGATGCTAAGCACTAGAATAGGCGCGGCCCGGAGCGCTGCGTTAGTTACAACAAATGCCGCCCTCTTTGGCAGCATTTATTACGTGTTATTTTATAGCGAATTCCACTAAACAGTGACCACAACCAAGATATTACTTCTGGAGATAATTAGTCCACATCTCTTCCCCATGGCGCTCTTATAGTAGTATAGAGAAACTTAGACTTATTATACCCTCTCCTCAATATTGGACTCCCCTTGACGCTTTCAGAGAACAAAGTGGAATGCTATTGATCAATGAAATCTGGACATTAGGCACCTTGCATCTCTTAGTGAACAAGAAGGGCTCCGTATTTCTAGGAGTAATAGCAGGTCTGCAGCTATCTGACGATTTTGTTACTAACCTTAAGTACCTCCCATACGATTATACAGAGAGTCCACATCGACTCTCCAGGTCGTCATTCTCTTAAATTAGACTTACTAAGCTTAAATTCATTCGGTGGCCTCAGATGTCTGATGTGACGTCACGCAGGAAGGAATTATTACATTTCTCTAAAACTGAGGATATGAAGACCTTGGCGGCAGCCTTAATAACGGATAAACATTTATAAATATTTTGCATGGTGTGGCTTGAGAACTTTCAGTTGTTTGGAAATCTATGAACTTGCCTCAAAACGTTAGTTCCTGAACAGATGTCCATTTTGGAGCCATTTGAGAAGTTCGGAATATTTTCATATTGCTGCCAAGGAAGTGTACTTTTTGGTCACAATAATTCGGACAGTCTTGACTCTTATGCTCTACCCGACTCTATTTAAGGTTTAGGCAAGACCGTTGTTTGGCTTCCGTAGCCTATATAGCCTATGACAAGTCCTAATCCTAGGCTTCCCTTAGCTATAAGGCATATGTATATCTTATGTACCGAACATTTGTCCCAAAACTGGCAGTAAATTTGAATCTTTAAATACCTCGACACCAGCGCCACCTAGCGGCATCGATTCTAAAGAAATGCTTGTTATCAACCTTCTTAGGCGCTCTCTGCTTTTTTACAACCAGCCTACAGAAACTTCACCTGAAACTTCGTTTTTGCTGGACCCACGCGATATAGATACGACAGAATTGAAGGAAGTGAGCTCAATAAGGAACCGACACAGAAATTGATAAACTACAATTACATAAATGTGGACACAGTAATGGTAATGACAAAAGAGTTTCAAATGGATATTAACAATTTTGATCAAGGACATTTTTCTTACAATAATTATTAACAGAACCCGCTTCACATCCCACTTACCTGTAAGAGTAATGCAGTGTACTTTCAGCAGCACTTTTGAATGTCTCCTTAACAGCTGGTCCGACGGTGTGTAGCACACACTTGGCTGACAAATTGTAGCCACGAGTGACGCACACCTCACCAGTTCGGCACTCTATGCAGAAAAAAAAACAAAGTTTGATAGTGAAATTTCAAACACTATTTATGTAAGTGAATGTACACACCTTTTAAATTATTGCTTAATTCTTCTTTTAATTGATTACCGGCAGCTGCATAAATGCGTTCGGCAATTGGATTAGTCTCGTTTTGTGTCTCCTCGATTATGTTTGTGATGCCGTCCACCTCGAGTGTGGTTATATCACCCTCCCTATAGAATGGGAAA